TTCACTAAATAAATAATAACTAAAAACTAACTAAAGTAATTAAATAAGGCTAAGATATTACTTAATTACAAATATTAAACCAAACAAACTAATTTGTACGAAAAAGTTTAAAAAACCGTCCACCAAATAATTTAAAATAATTAATTACTATATATTTAATAATTTATGAAATTAATTAAAATATTAATTATTCACTATATAAATAATAATGGAAATACAATTAGTAATTAAAGTAATTAAAAAGATATTTCTTATGGCAAGTTTGGCATTGCTTTGTTGTGAAGATAATCACTGTTAGATTTGCTATGAGAGAAAACAATTTGGCGTTTGGTAAACTTTTTTTAAAAAGTGTTATTGGTACTGATTTCTGCATAATCAGAAAATGAAAACACCTCATTAGCTGTTTTTCCTTATAGCTTTCTCTCACAGCAATTTTTAATAATAAATGATTTTCTCATAGTTTACCAAACGGGTTGGGCTTCCCAAATTATCTAAAAAATCACTTATCACCCCAAATAAGTAATGTCAAACTGACACTTAATTAAAAAACTAATTTTGTTTTTAAAAAATAAAAAAATAAAAAATATATATTCTAATATATTTAATATATATTTAAAGAGTATGTTATTTTTTTAAACAAAATTCTTAATTTAAAAATAAATAAAAAAGTATAGCGCGGCTATACTTTCTTTAGTACAAAAATGGGTTCCTTATCCTTTTCCCCTCTTTGGTTCAAAAATGGCCTATTTGAGAGATGTATGTTTGAAACTATGACTTTGGTTCAAAAATACCATCTGTCACTCTCACTTGAGGTGGAAGCTTTTGTACTTGCGCACCCTAGTGCACTTACGCGACCATTAGCAGCCTCCTGAGGTCTGATATATGATTTCAGATTCAATAATTTATAGAAAGAAAAAAAAAAACAATTAATATGCTACTTTTCTTTGACAAACATTCCCACAAGAAAGGAAATTTACAATTTGGAAGTTGAAGGAAGGCTACTTGCATTATATATATTTGTATATTTCCCATCACATGGGTTAAACCATTTGCATCATCATGGAGAAAAGTAATTAATTCATGTTATAGCAAAAATGGAATACCATTTCGGGTCGTCTTTTTTAATAACGATATATTTGGAAAAACGAAAACAAAAAATACATTGTCTTTTTCTTTTTGTGTTTGGTGCCAAGGAAGCCAAAATTTCGAAGAAAAATTACAAAAACACTAGCTAGTACCCATAGCGGGGCTCTCATAAAATCTAAGCATGCATATATGCGCATAGGTTCGAAGTCTCAAGGTACCCAATGAATATTTGTACACCGTCATTTTGCAATTTTGTTAGAAGAAATTTGGACACCATCATTGTTGCACCTGAATAAGAAAAATAAATAATTCAATTTGGTAATATAATTTTTTGAAATGGAACACGCGTGGCCAAAAGAGTCACAATTGAGTAGTTGTGGTGGTGCATGTTAAAAGCGGTTTGAAAGAGTATAAACGAAATGAAAATAATATAATTAACCAAACCTTCTCTTCACTTCATATAGATTGACTGGCTATTAGCTTTCACGCCCTCACCTTCCATTCTCTTCTTTTGATTTCTGCTGTCTCCCCTACTTCATATATATATATATATATATATATATTTTCATAATAATATATATTTCAATTTTTATATATAGTCCCCTCAACTTTCATAACTACCACCACAAAGCTCAAATTTTTCATCTCCCTCCTCCTTATATATATATATATATATATATATATATCATGCTCTGGAAGCAGCCCATAACCACTGAAACTTCTTGAGTTTTCACC